GGGGCTATGCTGAAACCTCCGTATGGGGACAGATGGGGGAGTGGCTGGGTTCTGTGTCTCTGAGGGACTCTTGTGTGGGCGTCCTGTGTAGGGGAAGCTTTGGGAGGGGCCTGGAACCTTAGCACCTACTCTCTCGTTCTCTCTTCCCCTTTCCTCCTCCCTGCTTCTAGGTGATGTACAGGGTGATCCAGGTGTCCGAGGGGCAGCTGGATGGCCAGACTGAGGGGACTGGTGCCATCAGTGGCTACCCTGCCACTCAATCCATGACCCAGGTACGGGGTATGGGTTGGGGAGGGGACTAGAGCTCTGAAGAGTGAGATGAGGCAGGGAACGAGTGGGATGGGATGAGGCTAGGGGTGGTGAGGCATCTTGCTGCCTTGTCCCCAGGTACTCTAGGCTCTCCCTTTCTAGGTATGCCTCCCTCCCTCTTTCCCTCAAGGGTTAGAAGCTACAGAGTAGTTCACTGGGGAATACCTGAGGGTCACTGGACTCTGTCCTCTTGGTCCCCTTCCAGGCAGTGATCCAGGGTGCGTTCACCAGTGATGATGCAGTCGACACAGAGGGAACAGCTGCTGAGACGCACTATACTTACTTCCCCAGCACTGCTGTGGGAGATGGGGCAGCAGGAACCACGTCGGGGAGTACAGCAGCTGTTGTTACCACACAGGGCTCGGAGGCACTGCTGGGACAGGCCACCCCTCCTGGCACTGGTGAGCTGCTGTGTGAGGATGCTGGCTGCAGAGTAGGATGGGCTTTGGGACATACTGGGGGGCAGTGGGCCTTTACTCATCACCTGCAGGGGTCGCTGAGACCAGGATTGGCAGTGAGTACAGGACTGCCCCTCCAGCAGGAGGAAGTTCACCCTTTTTAGAAGAGGGTCCCAGGGCCTTGGCCTTGGAGCTTGCTGAGGTTACCAGCCCGATGCCCTGACAGAACCTCCCCTGCACCCTCACAGGTCAGTTCTTCGTGATGATGTCACCACAAGAAGTGCTGCAAGGAGGAAGCCAGCGCTCCATTGCCCCCAGGACCCACCCGTACTCCCCGTGAGTAACCCTGTTTCTTCTCAGTTACCACAAGTGCCAGATCTTGAGTGATTCCTTACCCCAAGCGCCAATCTTATTTTCTGACCTTCGTCACTTGGCTGCCCTGGGCTCCGTCGTCAGGAAGTCAGAAGCGCCCCGGACGACTCGGGACGAGAAACGCAGGGCTCAGCATAATGAAGGTGGGTGCCATCGGGTTCGAAGCCAGGAGCTGTCTGGTGGGATTGCAGACAGCTGTGGCGTTTGAAGGGGCGAAGTCAGGCAGCTTTTCCTGGGCCTGTGGGGAGCTCTGGCTGAGCCACCTTGTCCTCATTGTTCCCACAGTGGAGCGGCGCCGCCGGGACAAGATTAATAACTGGATCGTGCAGCTGTCCAAAATCATCCCAGACTGCTCCATGGAGAGCACCAAGTCTGGCCAGGTCAGGGAAAGACCCTGGTGTTGGGCAGGTGCCCAAGTTGTGTGTCCTGTGGGTGCACGCGCCAGTCGTCTTTCTTCTTTCTGAGGTTCCTTAGGTGGAAATAAGGCCCAGCATGTGAACTGCTTTTGGAAAGCAAGCAGGTGTTTTATATTCTAGTCCTCATTCTGTTGGCTTTTTCTGCAGAGTAAAGGTGGTATTCTGTCCAAAGCCTGCGATTATATCCAGGAGCTTCGGCAGAGTAACCACCGGTTGTCTGAAGAACTGCAGGGGCTTGACCAGCTGCAGCTGGACAACGATGTGCTTCGCCAGCAGGTTGGGTCCTGTCCCAGGGAGCCCTCTTTTACCCTTTGGGACTCTGTACCTCATTTTCCATAGACAGGCTTTGTCTTTTTCCTTTCGCCAGTGGATGTTGGAACAAGTTCAGGGACTTCCCATCCCCCTCACTGCCTCCTTCTTTGTGTCAGGTGGAAGACCTCAAAAACAAGAATCTGCTCCTCCGAGCCCAGCTGCGGCACCATGGGGTGGAGGTCGTCATCAAGAACGACAGCAATTGACTCTGGGTGTCCCTGTCACCCAGAAAGCCCAGGAACAGCAGCTCGCCCTGTGCCCTGTTCCTTCATTGCCCATTTCTGGCACGAGACTGGAGGAGTTCAGAAGGTGCCTGGACAGCAGCCTGCAGTGTTGTGAAATACGGGTCGCGCACTGACAGTCTGGCCCAGCCCCACCGTGCAATCCGAGTCCCTGTAACACAGTGCAGGCTCTGTGTCCAAGCTGGATACTGGACACACCCAGCGGGGTGCCTGCTCACAGTACCAGCAGAGGGTCTGCTGACAGGCGATGCCCTAGCTGTCCCCGGACTCGCGCTTCCACGGTTCTCTCTTCCCCTGGAGCTCAGGTGTGCACCCGAGGACCCCAGGGAGCAGGCTTCAGCAAGACCTGGGGGAAAGGAGCAGTGGCAGCTGTCCCAGGAAGAGAAGCTGGGCAGCAGCTGAGGCTTATGCAGACACCCAGGGAGAACCCCAGGCAGGGGCCCACGTGAGGCCTTCCCCTTGTGGGGACGATTCTCTCCCCCTTTTCTTCCTTTTTTAAAGATAAACTATTCCGAGCCACAGTTGCCCCGTTTGTCGTCCTTCGGTGGGCCCCAGGGCGGATGGGAGGGAGCGCGGGCGGAGACTGGAGGAGGGCGCTGCCCGTGCTCCCCGCGTCTCAGTATCTGGGCCAGACCAGTGGGTGGTGGCAGACCCGAGAGTGTCTAGGGCCGCTCGGGAGAGCGGCGCGGGACAGGTGCCGTGGGGGCGGGGCGGGAGGCGGTGCCTCATTTCCGGTTCCGGTCTCTTCTCGCACTGGCCGGGGAGATGCGGGCCACGCGGGCGCCGGGCCGGCGTTCCTGCAGCTCGCGCCCTTGGCGCACGTTACGGCTGCAGGCACCTGCGGGAGTCCTGGGCCTGCCTCGTGCGCTCCTTGTGGCCCCTGGAGCGTGCGGAGCCCCGGAGAGGAGTCTCGGGCGGGAAGGGGAGGGGGGCGAGGCGTGACTGCGGTCCGCCAAGGTTAGGGGCAGGGGCGTCCCTCTGCCGCGCGGGGGGCGCCGCGGGACGAGGGCGCAGTGCTGGGCGTGGGGCGTCGCGGAGGTGGCCCCTCCAAGCTTTCGTATCCCCTCCGCAGTGCCCAATGTCCCGCTCCCGGAACTCCGCGGGCTCCTGGCTCGTCGACGTGAGATCTCGAGAGGGGGCGGCCGCGGGATCCATCCCCGGGGCGCTCAACATACCGGGTACAGAATTTGCGGGGAGCCACCCCCAGGCCTCCGGAGAGGGGCTGGTTGAGGCGGATCCTGGCGGTGGAGCCGGCCCTTCCAACCTGGGGGAGCCATGGTGGGAAAGGGCTGCCACCCGCACCCTCCAGGCCCCATCACCGAGGCTGTGTCCCCTCCTCAGTTCATGGGAAGCGGCTTCTGAATTACAGTGCAGCTGGGCTGTGTCTTGTCCTTGAGTTCTGGGGTTGTTTTGGGGCCCTCTGGAGATTTGTTCTACCATGGGGACCCAGTTCTTCCAGGCGTCACCTCTGAACCTGAGATTGCCTAGCTGCCTCCTCCCGTTGTCTAAGTTGGAAAGTGCCCTGCAGATGAAACCTGCTGCTCTCCAGGCTTCGTGCTCCGCAGAGGAGCCGAAGCTTGAAGACGACTACCTCATTTTCTTGTCAGACGGGTAGGCGGGGCTTGCAGGTCAGGCAGCTCGCCCTGGGTCTTGGATACAGAGGGTATGGGGGAGGTGGGGTGCTGGTCGGGGTATAATGGCGCTGCCTCCCTGCCTGCCCTCCTTTGCTCACCCCTCCTTGTCTCCACAGGGCTCCTACTTGCCCGGGGCCTGTAGAGAATGGTTCCTGAAAGGTCAGGTAGAAGTGGGCGCACAGTCAGCCCACCCCCGGAGCACCTCTAGTGAGTGTGAGGAAGGCGCTGTTGTTGGGCTGGGCAAGGCCTTAGGGTGCTTTGCACACAAAAGCACCAAAATAAAGAACATTTAATAAAAGCACTGGATGCATTTAATGTGTCAGTTCTATTTAAAACAGTTCTATTCAGACCTCAATTCAGCCCTGGGTCCTTCTTCCCGCATTCATCTGTCCCCTTCCCACCCCCAACCCCAAACTCCAGTAATTTCCTAAGAGTACAGTTCGCTTTCTGGAACAATTGTTTTCTGTCCAGAATGCACGTCAGGATCACCTGGGGGGGAGGGGGGGTTGCTTGGGTCAGCAGACTGGGGCCCCACTGGCCCTCCCTGCCATTCATTTACATATTGTCTGTGGCTGCTTTTGTGCAAAAACAGCAGAATGGTTGTAACAAATGACATGACCTTCAAAGCCTAAAATTTTTACTATGTAGTCTTTTCTAGGAAGTTTGCCTACCCTTGCCTTAGACCAGCTATTTTCAGCTGGTGTTCTACAGGAACTTCTAAAACATGCAGTACCTGACTAATCAAGGGCACTGACCTCTTTTCCCTTAAAGCAGGGGTGAGGACTTCTGGCCCTGCTGAGGCAACTGCAGGCAGGACTCAAAATTCAATCAATCTAGGAGCTTTCATATCTAATTTTTAAGTTCATCATTTTGTATGGCCTGAGAGTGACGTTATAAATCTCCAAGTGGCCCTTGGCAGAAAAAAGGTTCCCACCTCTGCTTTACATTGTCAAAAATATGGTGAGAACCAACATAACAATAGCTGCCCCGTATGAATGAATCAAAAGTACACTTTTTTTTTGTCTGGCAAAAAGTATGTTTTTGGTGTGCTGCAGAATTTTAGTAATTAGTTTATGGGACTTGAGATGAAAAACGTTGAGAATCACTGCTCTAGACTTTCAGGTCCCCAGTACCAGTGGCTGAGTGGAGGGACGGATGCCATCTCCACAGAAGTGTCCAACACAGACACAGGTGTTAGGGCTCCTGTGCCACCCAAAACAGGTCCCAGTTGTTTTTGTTTTGTTTTCTAATCCTCACCTGAGGGCATGTTTATTGATTTTTAGAGAGAAGACAGAAGAGAGATGATTTGAGAGAGAAACATTGACTGGCTGCCTCCCATATGCACCCCGACCGCGGATGAAACGCAAAACCTTTTAGGTGCTCGGGATAATGCTCCAGCCGACTGAGCCACCCGGCCAGGGCCGGGTCCCAGTTTTTATCAATAACTGTTCTCCGATCCCACACTGGATTTAACAAAATTTTATTTGTTAAAAAAGTGAAAAAGCACATATTTACTGAGGCAAAAATATACAGTAGGTGTATAACTTCCCTCTGGCATGGTGATTGCTGCATATCCTTTTAAATATATTAATGGCAGAGTTTTGACTTAAGTTGGAGGGGTTTTTTAGAGAGAGGGAGAAGAGGGGGAGAGAGAAACATCTCAGAGTCAAGCATGCAACCTGGGCATGTGCCCTGGCTGGGAATCGAACTGACCACATTTTGGTGCACAGGATGACGCCCAGCAAACTGAGCCGTACTGGCCAGGGCCTTAAGTTTGATTTTTTAAAGTATTACTCCTTTATTTGTGGAAGAGAAAGTTGGGTGAGAGATGGACCCAATTTTCTGATTTATCAGGTCTCTGAAGAAATTCCTTCAGACAGTTCCTGTATTCCTTGCCTTTCTCTCACACCCTTTTCTTTCCTTCAGCCTTCTGGACTGTAGCCAACTCTCCTTTGTCTTGAATCTCACCACTTAACACTGCAGTGGTTGAGCATGGGTCCATGCATGAGGTCATCGGTTCAATTCCCAGTCATGGCTCGAATGCCCGGGTTACAGGCTCAATTCCCGGTGAAGGGACGTGCAGGGGGTGGCTGATCGGTGTTTGTTATCAGTGTTTCTCTCTATCCCCTCTCCCTCCCTCCCTCTCTCAAATCAATAAAAAGTTTCCATTCATCTGAGCTCTCAACCTCCTCTACTACAGAGATACCCCACTCTGGGTAATCACAGGACAGTGCTGCCTGCCCTGAGCCGAACATCCTTAGATCTGGAGATAAAGTTGAAACAGGTGAAAGAGTATAGCCTAGGGTCTGGCAAATGGTAGGGGTCCGTTACTCTTTCCCCAAGTACCCTAGTACCTTTCGTTCTCAAACTGGTTGGGAAATTTTTCCCATGGTCTAATTTCCCCCTTTGAGTCTTAACTGTTCTAGTCTCTTTTTTCCTCCTCAAGTAATATAATTCGGTTATAGCGTTTAATTGTTTTATTGATTTGAGAGGGAGACAAACATCAATTTGTTGTTCCACTTATTGATGCATTCACTGATTGCTTCTTGAATGTGCCCTAACCAGGAATTGAACCTGTAACCTTGGCATATTGGATGCTCTAACCAACTGAGCTACCAGGCCAAGGCCTAGCATTTATTTTTTTTAATTGAGGCATAATTTACCTATAATAAAAGCACAGTTTTTAAGTGTTCAGCACACACTGAGTTTGGTAACAACTGTCCTAAACAAGATACAAAACACAGAAATCCCCACACTTTCTGTCAGGCCCCATTCCAGTTAATAACATCATTAATCCCTTACTAGGCAATTGTTTTTCATCTGCTGTCACCATAAGTGAGATTTTTTTAGCTTCCTCCCTGGCCTGCCAACATACACTGATTTTCCAGTTTAGTGGATGGGGTTCCAGAGGACCCTGGAAGTTTGCTTAGCTGGCCCAGCACATGGCTGTGCTTTCTGGCTTAACTGCTGTTAAGAGAACATTCCTTGTTTCCCTCATTTTTGGTTCATAATCTTGATACGCTTTTCCAACCCATTACCTTGCCCTTTAAAGCTCTCCCTTTCCTCATAGCTATTTCATCAGGTGAGGCTGCAAGCCAGAGCTGACCGGCTCTGGCCTTCCCTGACTTCTGCCTTCCTTTTCAAACCACATTAGACCCTTCCTCTCACCAAACTGTATCCACCCCCGGTTTGTGTCGATGTTTTGTCTGTGTCATCTCAGCTACTACCTTACATTATTATTCCTCTCAGTACGTTGTGAGCTTCTCGACAGCAGGGACTAGTTTCACCACCTAACCTGCAGTGCCTCAACATGAGTCCTCAGTAGCCTCCCCACTTTCAGAATCTTCTCCTCTCAGGCTTTCTGAAACATCACTGCCTAGGCAATCTTAAAATAACATTTTATCTTATCAGAATTGATAATTCACAGTAGCTCTTTGTTGCCTAGTGACTCAGGCACATACCACAGCCTGGCCCATTGAGCTATCTGCAGTTGCTCTGGCGTCACCCTGCCTTTCCAAACGTCTTTCAGTGCATGCTCCTAGCAGACTGGTTTCTTAGTGGCTGAAGTAGACCCCCTACTCCTTCCTGATCCTGGCCTTCACTCACCATTTCCCTTGTTTGAGAAGTTTCCAGTCTCTTAGGAACCACTTTGAATGTCACAAGAATTAGAAGAATGTATTTGCTGCCCTCTTCCAGAGGGCTTTTAAACTGAAGGAGAAGAAAGATAACCAGATAAAATTAAGTAACTGAGTTCCAGGAAGGACACAAGAAACAGGAGACTGGTGGGTAAGGCCCCCCCCCCCAGCACTTGGACTCCCTTCAGACTGAGCTTCGTTTCATTTTTATTTGACCAACAATTAAACCAGGACTCAGCATTTAGGAGGAACTCAATAAATACTGAATTTGTATTGAGGTGTTTAGTAATTCCCAGGGGGAAAATGCAAAGGAAGAAAGTTGAGAGTAATACAAACAGTAGCATGTCTGCAGAGTGGGGGCTGTGAGCCAGTTCTGAGTCCAGTTCCGACTGACCACCACAGAGCGGTCATGCAAGTTACTTTTTTTTTTTTTTTAAACTATTTCTGCAGTAGGTGGCAGAACGGCACCAGGTGTTAGACCCATGGGGTCAGACCGCACTTGGGGTCAGCAACCTCGGTACTTGAATGCTGGCTAGGAAAGAATTCAGAGCCAAGACCCAAACTGTAAGAGAACATTTATTTGGTAAATGGCAGAGGTAGAGAAAGTAATTCCTAGAAGAAATGGGCTTAGGAAACAAGTAATAGAGGTAGAGGAAGGGCCCTTGGAGCTTGGGAGAGAGGAAGCCAATGGTAATGTGCCCGTGGGGAAAGGGAAAGGCACCGGCATGTTCTCTGGAGGGAGAGCCCAATGGGTCTTCTGTCCTAAGGGTTTTAAGTGAAGAGACTTAAGGGGAGGTCCAAAGGGAAGATCTCATCATAATATCCAGCAGTTTTCCAGGCGTGTCCTTCCAGGGTTGTGATCTCCACTGATTGATCTGCACCAGGGCAGGGGGTCATTATCCAATGCAGCTGGTCCTGAGGTCAGCCATGGGGTTGCTTGCCTGGTTTTGCTGCTTTTCTGGGCCTGGAGCTGAACTACAACTGAGGCCTAGATGTTACCTCTAGGGAGGAAAGGTCAGGGGCCCAAACTGCTTGATCAGTGATAAGCTAGGGGAGGAAAGGACACCCTAAGGGCGAGGTCCCACCCTACAACTGTCCTTTGCTAGGCATTCAGTTCGCTTTCCACCCTGATGACCTGGCCCATTGTCCTTGCTCTGCTCTTGTCTAACTGCCTACAACATAGTGAGAAAATAATTCTGAAATGTAGGGCTCTTCTGACATCACACACGTTCAAGGACATATCCACAGTCAGTGATATTTATAGAATTACCTGTAGGTCAGTTTGCATTAGAGTATTTGGTGTACACAGGCCTAGCGCTCCCGCTTTCCCGCTTCCCCTTCCCTTTCTCCTGGAGTGATCCTGCCACTGAGGTTCGGGGGAACGGGTGGTGTCTCTTCTCTCCTGCTCCCCCACCTCTCGCCTGTTAGTAGGAGGCCCAGTTTCTACAGCACCCAGTAATTTACATCCAAACCAACAAGAAGAAAGAAAACCGACCGGGCTCCGCTCGGGCGCAGGACGACTAACTCCCCTACCTGCCGCTTCCAGGTCCTCCCCTCACCCGCAGCTCCGAGCGCGCACGGCCGGGTGGGAGTCCCCGCTCCCGCGGCGCCGCGGGCCGGCGCGGTAACCT